AATGATGCAGGTAACTTCAAATTCGGTCAGATTGGTTAGTTCAACCACTAGGGTATTCCGTACGGAATGGAATGCTCCGGCCGGTTATTCGATCAATGTTGCGACAGCCAATGCCTCCCAGGTATATTTTTCTTTGTTGCTTGTGTGATTAACTTTGAAACGAATGTCTGTTGATTAGCTATAAATTCTCGTAAGGATCAAAGATACAACTCCCAGATTTTGGAGAATCAATTTAGCATAGCAGTTTGTCACTTGAACTGTTGTTAATATCAAGTTTAAGTCCCTCCAAGATTTGGGCCCATGCATTACAGCCTTCAGTTGCTTTTAATCTAATCCTATTATGAACAAGCAAACAATCTATTGAGTGTAATACATTTTGCTTCGGCAGGTTTTATTGGCTACTGGTGGCGGCCATTTGGTCTATCTTGAGATTGGTGATGGTGTGTTAACAGAAGTTAAACACGCACAGTTGGAGTACGATATCTCATGCCTGGACATTAATCCAATTGGTGATAATCCAAATAACAGTCAGCTTGCAGCGGTAGGAATGTGGACAGATATAAGTGTCAGAATATTTTCACTTCCAGACTTGAATCTTATCACAAAGGAGCATTTGGGTGGAGAGATTATACCTCGTTCTGTTCTCCTGTGTTCTTTTGAAGGGGTTAGTTATTTTTAATTGTGTAAAAAAATCACATATAATTGCTCATTAATTTTTCATGTGGATGCTGTTTTTATATCTGAGATGTTTGGGCTCTTCACTATTGAATGTATTGTATTTCATGATTCATAATAAATAGGCAGTCTTAGGCTCTTTGCATACTTAAGTATACTTAGCATTGAGTAGAACCTGGTGGAGTTTAGGTTATTGTGTTTATGAGTAAGTTTGATTAGTAGGAATGCCATGGCAAGGTGATTTACCCATAATATGCATGATCGGCAATCCTCCTGTTTAAATATCTCTTTTTTGGTTAGTTCTTGGCATCAGGTTGTTATACCAGTTGTAAAATATAAAGAAGGATAATATCTTTCAGTTTTTCCATTTTGTTATTGTAAAATTGATCCTATTCGTATAAGTTTCAATTTTCCTTGAAGTAATAACAGAATAAGGTTACAGCGAATGCTTAGCAGGACTTATCAATTATGAAAATAGAGGAGGCCTATGTTCACATATTACCCTGAGTTATTCTGAGATTAATCAGGATGTGTCAGTTATGAAAATAGAGGAGTTCTATGTTCACATATTACCTTAGTTATTCAGAGATTAAAATATTGGCAATACTATGTGGGGCTAATGTAACGATTTCCTAAATATTCTGAGATTAAAATATTGTGAGTTATTTTNTTTTTTTTTTTTTTCAGATATCTTACTTGTTATGTGCTCTTGGGGATGGACACCTCCTAAATTTTGTATTGCATACAAGTAATGGCCAGCTGGCGGACCGAAAGAAAGTGTCTTTGGGGACACAACCCATTACACTTCGTACTTTCTCGTCAAAAAATGCAACACACGTGTTTGCTGCCTCTGATCGACCCACCGTCATTTACAGCAGCAACAAGAAATTGCTTTACAGCAATGTTAACCTAAAAGAAGTCAGTCATATGTGCCCTTTCAATTCTGCAGCTTTCCCCGACAGGTTAAATAGCCTTGAATTCTTGTTATATGACGGATTAATTGTGTTTTAACTCTGATTATAATTATAAAATGTTAGCCTGACAGTATAGAAATTTCTTTGTTAACAGCCTTGCAATTGCGAGGGAAGGCGAACTAACAATTGGCACCATTGACGACATTCAGAAGCTGCACATACGTTCTATCCCACTTGGGGAGCATGCAAGGCGCATATGTCATCAGGAACAGACCCGAACATTTGCCATATGCAGTTTAAAGTACAACCAATCGAGTGCAGAAGATGCTGAAATGTACTTTGTTCGCCTGTTGGACGACCAAACTTTTGATTTCATGTCGACTTATCCACTGGATCAGTTTGAGAATGGTTGCTCCATACTTAGCTGCTCGTTCTCTGATGACAACAATGTGTACTACTGTGTTGGAACTGCTTATGTAATGCCAGAAGAGAATGAACCTACCAAGGTCAATTTCTCTCTCTCTCCCTCTCTCTGTGTGTGTGTGTGTGTGTGTGTGTGTGTGTGGATCCATGCATGTTGTTCACATGTTATTGTGCCTTAAATTTCTTTCCCTTGTTATCTTTTGAAATTTTACTGGTTCTGATTGTATGCGCAAGTAAAAACTTCGACTCAATGGGTTTTTCTCCTTATGATGGGTTTTGATATTTTTTTTCACTACGAATACTCCCTTTCATTTTACTATCTCCCGGCTCACCTTTTTTTTTAATCTACATATCATGTCCTATCATTGTTCTGTTATTTCTATATTCGAAATTCCATTTTTATCTTATATACATTCAGACACTCAAAAGTTTATCATTCAGATTACATTCACTATTCTCTGACCAAATGGAAAATTCCAAATGAAATCATTTTAAATTACACTTTCGTTTTTGTATTGTTTCTTCCTCTCACTGTTTCTTAATTTTCCTTTTTTTTTTCCTCACGCCATGAAATGACTTGCAGGGTCGGATATTAGTCTTCGCTGTGGAAGATGGAAAACTACAGCTGATTGCTGAGAAGGAAACTAAAGGAGCTGTTTACTCTCTTAATGCCTTCAACGGGAAACTTCTCGCGGCCATTAATCAGAAGATCCAGCTGTACAAGTGGATGCTCCGGGATGATGGATCTCGTGAGCTGCAGTCTGAATGTGGACATCACGGGCACATACTTGCGCTTTATGTACAAACGAGGGGTGATTTCATTGTCGTTGGTGATCTGATGAAATCAATCTCTTTACTGATTTACAAGGTTAGCTTTTCCACAACTCCTCAAGTTTGAGCATGTTTGCAAGTTGAGCGACAACAGTATACATAAACCAAAAAAATAAAAAAATAAATAAAGAATCACTTTAAAGAACAAAATCTTGAAATTTAAAATGATACAGAACAATTACCAAAAAAAAAAAAAAAANAAAAAAAAAAAAAAAATGTTGAAGACTAAAAAAACTACATATAACTAATGGCTTTTAAAACCTGAAAGAAATACCTAAAATCTGAAACACTGGATAACTTAAAGAAATAACAACTGGAAGAAATACCTTAGAACTGAAAAACTGAATTCTGGGCCTTCTTGTGTAGCCTTAGCTGAGTAACTGCAATTTTACAAATCGAAACATCGGTAATGTATGTCGAGAAAATTCGTAGCTTATGAGGTGTTTGTCGTATACATAAACCGGAAAACTTTCGAATTTTCTCTCAAGACTAGGCATAATTAGGAAGAACTGAAATAAAGTAGGAGAGTGGGATTTCGAGTTAGATGATTGAATATGAAATAAGCCAACCAATCATAACCGGTTGAGAAAAAAATGCAATTTTACAAATCCCAACATCAGTATTCATAGCTTATGAGGTGTTCGTCATATGTGAATTTTCTTTCAAGATTACTCATAATTAGGAAGAAGTGAAGTAGGAGAGTGGGATTTTGAGTTAGATGAATGAATATGAAATAATCCAACCGATCATATAATCGATTAAAACCGGTTGTGAATTTTCTTTCAATATTACACATAATCACGAAGAACTGAAATCCATATTCCGTTTTATGCTTCTTTCTTTATTCCACATTCCCCCAAAAAATAAAAATAAATTATTTTTTTTTCCGTTTCAGCACGAGGAGGGGGCTATCGAGGAGCGGGCCCGCGATTACAACGCCAACTGGATGTCCGCCGTCGAGATCGTAGACGACGACACGTACCTCGGTGCCGAAAACAACTACAACCTCTTCACCGTCCGAAAAAACAGCGAGGGGGCCACTGACGAGGAGCGGGCCCGCCTCGAGGTGGCCGGCGAGTACCATCTGGGCGAGTTTGTGAACCGTTTTCGACACGGGTCCCTCGTGATGCGGCTCCCGGACTCTGACTCGGCCCAAATCCCGACCATTATATTCGGGACTGTAAATGGGGTGATAGGGGTCGTGGCTTCCCTCCCGCACGACCAGTACATGTTTCTTGATCGGCTGCAGACGAGCCTGAGGCGCGTGATAAAGGGGGTCGGGGGACTGAGCCACGAGCAGTGGAGGTCTTTCTACAACGAGAAGAAAACGGTGGATGCCAAGAATTTTCTTGACGGGGATTTGATCGAGTCTTTTCTCGATCTCAGCAGGAGCCGAATGGAGGAGGTCTCGGCAGCCATGGCGGTGCCGGTGGAGGAGCTCATGAAGAGGGTGGAGGAGCTGACTAGGCTGCACTGACTGAGTGTGTTTCTGTGTGTGTGTTTTTCTTGATGTCTGTATGGATAAGAGAATGTGATGAGCACATTTTTATTTTTATTTATTTTTTTGAAAAAATGTCA